TTATATCAAGAAGGTAAATATTATTGAGAGGTCGATAATCAACATATTCACCTAAATTTAAAATTATTAATTTGAAAAGAACGCATATGACTTAAATAATAAATTTATTATATTTGCTTACCAAATGCAACCAAAATATATTTATCAAATAATGCAGAAGTATGCCAAAACAATCCCGGTAAAAGACCATTATTTGAAATTGTAAGAGTTGACCAAATTAATGTTGAAATATCTAAAGAGACTATTGGGCCTTGTAGATAACCATCTATTATTAATATCTGATTATGTTGAGCTATTTAAGATTATAAAAATATAGAAGCTAATAAAATTAATAATTGATAAATTTTTAATAGCCGACACAAAATATAAAAGTATGCCGTACGTATAAAAGTGACCGTATGACCAGCCTGAGGATTTTCAATTCGAAAAATGTATAAAATTGCGGTTGCTTTATTTGAAGATACTGTATGCTGCAAGTATAATACTTTATATTTATATACAATCTAAATTTTTAAAAGGAAAATTATTTTCCTGCATTTAAGCAAATCTTGAGTAGTTAGTTAAGTTCCGTTCCTGGTTTTGCGCGATGGTGTCGCGCAGCTATCTAGTATTATAAAGTTTCGAAAATTGCCTATATAAACTGCTAGGGTTTGACTTAGATTGGACCGGTTTCATGCAGGGGATACAGACTAGTTCCTAACTAGTTCAGGACCGGACTTTTTAGGAACTGGACCGGACTTTTAACATCCCTACGGCACATCCATTTTCACAGGATCGTAATCCATTAATTTTTCAAGGTCTCGAGGTCACAGTTTTGCCCATGACAATAAATAAGTTGCCCAGAAAATTTTAACAACAATCACAAGCATACAGATATCACGAAAATGTTTTAATCTACATTAGATGGGCAAATGCGCATGATTCTGAAAAATGCTACATAAAAATGGGGCTGAGATTGCTTAACATGTATAAAGATACATGTATCAAGTTGCACAAATTGGACTTTTATATTTCAATAAATCGCCTAAAAATAATTGCTTGTCTAGATAAAAGACCTGCTATACAAAAAAACCGATTAGAAATTTGTTGTAATGGAGGAGACCACTTTGTTCAATGGTCTTGTTTTACCAACCGCGTGGAATATTGATAATAAATCACAGTTTATTAGCATAGATTCAAGTGCGCTTAAAGTGAATTATACAGGTAAGATGTGTAATAAATTTTAATAATAGAAATTTCTCAAAAATATATTATATTGATATATAGTTAAAAAAATTTTTTTAAAGATTCTAATGATTATAAAATTGTTGTAATTCGAGCCTATAATCCAATTCCTTCACAATGCGGATTATTTTACTTTGAAATTGAAATTATAAATGAAGGAAAAAATGGGTAATATTAAATAATTATTTTTTATGTATTAAATCAATATTATTATATAAATTTTCATAATCCCTTTAATTCTATTTAATATTAGAATGATTGGAGTAGGATACTGTACAAAACAAAGTAATATAAGCGTTTTAATGCCTGGTAATAACGGACTATTTTTTTATTTAATTTTTATTATTATATATTAACGCTGTCATAATATCTCTCAGGAAGGAAATATGAAGATAAAGAAAATAAGAAAAATAAATCATGGGGGTGTGCTTACCATGGTGACGATGGATACTTTTTTTATCCCGGAAGTGGCAAGCAATACGGACCGACATATACTGTTGGTGATACAATTGGATGTTATTTAAATTTTAGAAATGACGATAAGATGATATATTATACTAAAAATGGTATAAATCTAGGTAAATTTAAATTATTTATAATATATATCGTTATTATTAATCATTTTAAGTTGGATCTGATATTTAATTATATTTCAAGGAATTGTATGTTATTTACCTAATGATTTAGATGATATAAAAAATAATTTGTATCCTTGCATTGGACTAAGATCACAAGACGCATTTGTCGAGGCGAATTTTGGGAATAAAAAGTTTAAATATTTAAGTAAATTTTATTTAACATTAAATTTGATGCATATTTATAATGTTTTCAATAACGGTAATATCTTTTTATGGATAGCAATGACTAATGATTATATTGGTAAAGAATTATGGGAAGCATGCTGGCTCAATTCTAAAACCTTTGATCAGTACGTAGAAGAATTAAAAAATAAACAAAATGATACAATTGCACTAATGTCTCGAGGAAAAGCTTACTTAATTATAGGCAGATACAAAGAAGCATGTGAACATTTAACTGGTTTAATTAAATCGCTAATAGAAGAGGGAAAAGAAGATTTAACCTGTTTAATTAGATTGCTAACAGAAGAGAAAGAAGATTTAACTGGCTTAATTAGATCACGAATAAAAAATGGAGAGTTAGCTGGTTTAATTAGATTGCTAATAAAAGAGGATGATGATGATGAAAAGGAAGAAGAGGGTGAGGAATGGGACGAGGATAAGGAAGAGGAAGAAGAGGAAGATGATGATGAAAAAAGTGAAGAAGGGGAAGAGAATGATGGTGATGAAGATAAGGGAGAAGAAGAGGATGAAGAATGGGAAAAGGAAGAAGAGGAAGATGATGATGAAAAAAGAGAAGAGAAGAAAGATTTAATTAATAGCTTAATTAGATGGCGAATAAAAAAAGAAGATTCGGGTTTGATTAGATTGCCAATAAAAGAGGAGGTTAATGATGAGGAAGGGGAAGAAGATGATGAGAAGAAAGAAGAAATGATAAAAAAAATGGAAAAATCAATTACTAACTTAGTAAAATTAAAGAAATTATTAGAAATAGCACTAAGATATCGAGGGGAAATTAATTATATAATGAAAAGGTATGAAGAATCGATTGCCGACTTGGAAAGCTTGTTAAAAATTAAAGCAGATGATGCATGGGCAAATGAAGCTTTTGAATTAGTTGATGGATTGTAAGTATAATGCAATCATAAAAATTAGTAATTTAAAAAAGACACTTATATAATTTAAATACTCAACCAGTCTGTAAGTAATTGAAGTCTGAAAACCAAAAATTTTAAATCGGAAATGAGTGTCGCCAAAAGAAAACCTGCCCTGCATATTTAAAAATAGACCACTTATGAATTCATAAGTAATCTATTTTTAGATGTGCAGGTTTTCTTTTGGCGACACTCAAATATTGATTATATTTATTTAATAAAATAACATTAACCAATCCACACACACCATACAATACTCTATATTACACTACAATAGCCGGTGAGTAATACGGAATAAGAAAATTTTTAAATCAGAAATGTCGATTATATTCCAACACAAATAACATAACATTAACCAATCCACATATAATACAATACTCTATATTACGACAGTGAGTAAGTAATACGGGATAAGAAAATTTTTAAATCAGAAATGTCGATTATATTCCAACACAAATAACAACAACATTAACCATTCCACATACAATACAATACTCTATATAACGACAGTTCGTAAGTAATGCGGAATAAGAAAATTTTTAAATCAGAAATGTCGATTATATTCCAACACAAATAACATAACATTAACTAACCCACATACAATACAATACTATATATTACACTACAATAGCTGGTGAGTAATTCGGAATAAAAAAATTTTTAGATCAGAAACGATTATATTCCAACACAAATAACATAACATTAACCAATCCACATACAATACAATACTCCATATTACTACAGTGTGTAAGTAATCAGCAATGTCAGTTATATTCCAGCACAAATAACAACGTTAATCAACCCACATACGATACAATACTCTATATTACGACAGTGAGTAAGTAATACGGAATAAGAAAATTTTTAAATCAGAAATGTCGATTATATTCCAACACAAATAACATAACATTAACCAAT